TCTTCAAAGTCTTTCCTAATTTGGCTAGGGACGGGGTTTCTTGATAATCGCATCGCAACCATTTTCAAGGAGTCCAAAAAACTTTAAAATGAACACAAATTTCCAAATCCACCTACAAATATAACGGGTCTGGAATTCATAAAAAGTCGAATTGCGTTGATCAATCTAGAGTTTTGAAAACATTTTTTTGAGGTAAAAGAGAGAAAAGCTTGAGAGGATTTTACCTTATTTAGAGCTAATTCTAATATCCCCAGATCAAATCTGATTTTCAAAACAATTTTCAAGACCAAAAATTGCTTTGGGTCTTAAATATTTTTCATAGACTTCTCATCACCCTTTGCTCCAAATATTTTATGACTAGAATGCCAATGATGAATTTTTTCTTTGCAAATTTCAGTGAACAAAAAACGTTTTTTGTCGATTCTTCTATTTTTAAGTTACGATTTCCATTAAATGCGGTTCTTCTACAATTACTTGGAAATTTCAAAATTTCGAAAGACAAAAATGCCAAACGGCAATATTTTCCGTCAGGCACAGCCTAGAATATTCTTTTTGAGATTATATTCAATTATGCAAACCTCACAGATTATTTCAGACATACTGACAGGTGCTTCATCTGTCTGCAGTATTCAGTTTGTTAGAAATAGATATTCGACGAAAAGGTCAACAATTTCAGAAATTTGATACGTCTGAATAATTCTTTTTCGATGACGCGTTGGCGCCAGTGATTTTTTCAGAACGCATATAAATAATCTGCGAGTATAAGCCCTGTGAATTACATTTGGGACACCCCTTCCTTTGTGGTTAATTCGGAATCCAAAAAAATGATCAAAAATCTAATAATGGCGATCGGTGAGGGGTATGAAAAAAAAATGCGCCAGCTCAATTTTTTGTCATCTGACAATGATTGGTTTACACGAGATCAAAAAGCGTTAGACGAGGTCAAAATGTTGCTCTAGACAGCGGTACTAAAAATGAGATGAATTTTAGCAATTGTTTTAGAAAAGCTAATCTATAACTGTATGACCAAGACCAGAGCGCGTATCAAAATTATCAGCTCATTTTTCTAAATTTCTGGGCTCAAAAATTTTGTTTTTATAGTGCCAAAAATAGCTGCTTTAACATTCACGCACAAAAAATGCATGATCTGTTTATTAATAGAAACGTTTTGATTCGACTATATAGTTTTTCTTTGCAAAAATTGAATTGCTCAAAAATTGAATTGCAATTTCTTGTTAATCAATTATTTCTAAATGCAGATTACCTATTCACGTCTTCCGAATTCGTCTTTATATAATCATTTATTTTGAGCGGCTACGTGACTAGGATGAAATTGGAAAAAAAGCAAACAAATAAACATGGAATTTTCAATTTTAGATTATTATGATGAATTCGCTCAAAAATTAGATGAATTGGGAATTTATTCATCTGTTTGAGGTATTCGAAACATTAAGAATTTTTGAGAATTAAGAAATTCAGTAGTGCAGAAGATACAGATGCTTTATTATTTATAGCTAGTTTCTTATTCAATTCAAGGGAATGTAGAAGCTAATTTGAGATAATGAAAATTGTAATAACTTCATACATTTACTACAATTATTCTGGCCAGAATGTTGAATAATATTGTTTGAAATTAATTTTTTTTGAGATGCGCTTGTCCCTGAAAACTACTTGTTTTTTTTCAGTGGTTTCACTTGCAAAACTCTCGAGGAGGTCCAACGTGTTTTATGTTCTAAAGTTTGAGTTGAAACCTTCGACTTTTTTTTTAGAAATTCTGACATCACGCAACTCATTTAGCACGTCTTCATAAAGCGACCTTCAAGAAATTGAAGGTTCAAATATTGGTTGGTCGTGTTTTCTACTTCTGAAGCATTCACAAGAATAAACAAATGTCGAGGAATTTTCCAAGTGCACCATAATTCCGGGTGGCTCACTTCTTCTTTTTTTTCATATCTTTCTCTTTTTGTGGTTCGTGTTCGGCGCCGCAGACGTGTTCGCTCTTGTGTCGGATTTTTTTTTGCTCCTGAAGGGTTAATTCCATCAACAGAGTTTCTTTCAAGTTCGCAATTAGAGCGGAAGTGCAAGGGACGCAGTTTTTTCTACAGGGGTTTTTTCTTGCTATCGTTGCGCATGTACCGCCCCAACACTGAAAACGAAGACCCTCGTTTTCGCATTCGAAGGCTCATTTTGTTGTGTATGTATGTGTTTTTTTTTTTATCTCGTTGTTTCGTTGAAGGGATACGGTCGAACAAAATCCTCATTAATTGGGAACTCTTTCGAGCTAGTTCGTTAGCTTAAATGTTCAGCTAACGAAATTTGAGCAAAAAAAATGCATGATGTGAGTCATAAGACAAGCTATGCATACGGTCATGCATGTCCAAACTTGATGATTTTCGAGTTTGCCTTTCTATCCGTTTTATTCCGCATCACCAACTATTTATATTCATTAATTCTTTCGCGTTTTCTTAAAATTCCTTATTTGCAAATATTTTCAACCTTAGCCTATTTAAGTCTTAAAAAGTAACAAACCTGTGTTAAAAAAGCTACTTCTCTTAGGAACCAAATTGTAGTTCTCCAAATGTTGATTACAGATTGCAGGCAACTACTTCATATGTCTGCAATTTTTTGAAAATTTGTGTGAATTTTTTTCCAGAAAATTCCTAATTGAGTGATCTTTTTGTTTTCAATTAAGAAATATCAGATCGATTTCCAATTTTTCATCACCAATTCATTATTGTCTTAAATAAATTTTGAATTAAATATTTTTAACATTTGTAATTTTTTTTTCTGAAAGCGAAATAGTGAGAGGAAACCAATGCTTGATGCTTTAAATTGGAGCATTTCCTCTGTTCTATAATTTTCGCTAAATGAAAGAACTCAAAGAAAATTTCAAAAAATTCGCAAATAATGAAAGAAATTTTAACGTGCATTGCTGTCTAGAATTTATGTATAATTTTCAAGTTCCTCTTAATCAAGTACCATCACAAATTTTATTCCAAGCATTATTCCGCACATCTCAAATAAAAGTCACACGATGATTTCACTCGGAAATTACGCGCCAGCTAAAATAATTGTTTCCTTTCCATTGAATATGTGTAAGAGCGAGATCATGAACCTCCCTCAAAGTTTTGGATGCGATTCGCAAAGCTCAAAAATAAAAAAAAAACAAGAATAGTGTTCAAACTAGTTGAGCAATGTCGTGTACATTTGCCAATGAAGCTGTCAAAACAATGCCATCGGTTCGACGAACGCATTTCGATGCGGGACCATTGATTGTCTACAATTGAAACTGGAATTATTTGTTGATCGCCTGTAATGTTGTTTCAACAAAAACGAAACTGTAAAACCATACAGGGTGTCATTTATGTTCCCGCACAAAAGTTTGACGCCATGTAGAGCTTCGCTAACGCACTTTTCGTACACCAATACAATTTATTTTTATTGAACAAGGTATATTTTACTTACTTTCCAAGTTTCACCTCATTCGGATGTGCTTCCGAGAAACGGCGAAGGCTAACATCCATCGCGCTTCCATTATCGAACTTCATAAGCAAAATGTGAGCCCGAGAGACATCATTCAACGGGTCGGTGTGCCTTGTAGAACGGTTTATGACACCATCAAACGATTCAAGGAGCTAAATACGACCAGTGACCGTCCCAGACAAGGAAGACTCGTCTCAGTAACCACTCCTCAGAAGATCAACGCCGTCAAATCGAGGATCAGCCGAAACCCCCACAGGAGCATGAGAAAGATAGCGTCAGACATGGGAATGAGCATCTTCGCTTTGGAACAAATCGTCAAAACGAAGCTTGTACTGACCCCATATCGTGTCCAAAAAGCGGCAATTCTATCGGCCGTCAACAAGCAGAGACGCTTCGAAAAAGCAAAACGACTTCTTGCTCGCACGCGGTCTGGACAAGATCTCGTCACTGTCTTCTCCGACGAGAAGCTATTCACTGTGGAGACGGCATTCTACTCACAAAACCATTGAGTACTTGCCCAGACATCCCAGCATGCTTCTGAGAAAGGAAAAACAATTAATCGAGCCTCACATCCTGCCAGTGTGATGGTTTTCGGTGCCATCTGCTCAACCGGGATGTGCCCCTAGGATTTCGTGGATCAGGGAGTGAAAATGAACAAAGAAGTCTACGTTCGGGACATTTTGGAGAAGCATGTGATGCCCTGGACCCAAACGCATTTCGGTGGGCAGATATGGGTCTTTCAGCGGGACGGAGCACCCGCCCACACTGCCAAAACTACTCAGGAGTGGTGCCAGACCCATTTTCCCGACTTCATCAAGTCATCCGAATGGCCTGATTGCTCCACAGATCTGAAACCGCTTGACTTTTCCGTGATAGGGTCTTGCAGGAGAAGGTCAACGCAAAACCCCACTCAAGTGTAGAGGCTCTGAAGAGGACATTACTGGCGGAGTGGGACAATCTTTCCATCGAATACCTGCGTACCACAGTCACATCCTACCCGAAGCGTCTCCGTGAAGTCATAGCTGCGAAAGGAGGCCGAATCGAAAAGAGTTAATAGATAATTATTTGTTGTACTATAGATAAATAATATTTTGAGTCTCGTTTGATTTGGACTTTTAGTTTCAGAAATATACGTCTTCAAAGTTGTGCGGGAACTTAAATGACACCCTGTATATGATTGTTTTTTGAATATGTGGTGACAAGAATGTCCCTGCAAAAAATGAGCATCTGTCTTCCTTTTTTTTTACATTGATGTGCTTTTTTCATACATTGCTTAACTATTGATGGCATTATTTTCTTTGCCCTTGTTCTGAACCAAGCTTATCAAGATTATACATTTCCTAGCTTTGACAAGTCAGCGCAAAACAACGACATTTGGGGAAAAACAACCACGCAGCAAAAAAGTTTGACTGAAAGTCATTTTTTCTGAAAGTTTTCGATTCTTCTTGCGTTTGTCTTTCAATGCGGCTAAATATTTGAAAGAATGTGGTTAGTATAATATAATTTTTTTCTCAGAAATGGGTGCTGAAAATGAGACTTGTGAACATTGGGTTCAAATGTTCGACCAGATCAATTATTTTTTCCGAGATGAACAAGTCATTAATGGGACCGAATACGCATCGAAAGAGGTTTGACGAGCATCTATTGAATTAATTGTTTGACATTTTGTTTCAGCTGGGGTACGTTATAACATGCGCTTATTTTTTTGTCATCCTTTGCGGGGCCTTTGGAAATTTTTTGACAATCCTAGTAGTCATACCTAATCCAGCTATGAGGACGACACGGAATTTCTTCATTCTCAATTTGGCTCTCTCCGATTTTTTTGTAAGATATTTCTGAAAGGCTCTAACTGTATTATACGGTTTTCAGGTCTGTATTGTAACCGCACCAACTACACTTTACACCATTCTCTACATGTTTTGGCCGTTTGGTCGCACATTATGCAAAATTGCTGGATCACTTCAAGGATTCAATATTTTTCTATCAACTTTCTCCATTGCTTCTATCGCATTGGATAGGTATATTCGTTGGAATATTCCCAACATTCATCTTCGATCCTTTAGATATGTTCTAATTATATTTCCGACGAAGCGAGAAAGACAGCAAAATCTTTCCCTTTGCTTCATCATCATGATTTGGATTACCTCTATAATTCTTGCTGTTCCACTATTACAAGCATCAGACCTCTACTCTGTGTATGAAGATAAGTCTTGTGGAATTTCGCTACACATTTGTCACGAGCAAAACGAGATCTGGGAAAAGGTAATTCGTGATCTCTTTTTGACCTTTAAAAAGGTTTTTTTCTCATGCTAATAATTCGATAATCTCATTGAATATGAATTTTTATAATTTTTCAGATGATTATTTCTAAGGCAACTTATACACTAGCTGTTCTCATAACTCAATATGCCTTTCCTCTGTCCTCTCTCGTTTTTGCTTATACAAGAATTGCTCATAGAATGAAGCTTCGATTTGCTAATCGGGCTCAAAGCTGCGCTAATGGAATTGGAACAAGTCAACGAAGAAGGTAAATCGACCAATCTAGGAGCTCGTAGCAATGTCTCACAATAATTAGCAGATCTGTTGTCGAACGACAACGGCGGACCCATCTTCTTCTGATGTGCGTTGTCGCTGTTTTCGCAGTCGCTTGGCTACCGTTAAACGTGTTTCATATAGTACGTTTTGTTTATTTTGAAAATTGCATACAATTTTACGTATTAATCCGAAAATCCATTGAAAAAATAAGTATAGGAATGTTGGTTTTATTAATGGTTTCTTTCGCGTTATTCAACATTTCAAATTTACAGATTAACACGTTTGAATTGGTTAGCAATTTTTCTGTATCAACATTTGGTATTTGCCATTTCCTGGCGATGTGCTCAGCGTCATTAAATCCGTTGATCTACGCATTTTTCAATCAAAACTTTCGAAATGAGTTCATAAACCTGTTTGACAAAGTTGGATTACGGTATGAATAGTGTAATAGTTCAAATAGAGAAACTTTAAGCTTTTTATAGATCGGTGCGAATTCTATTGTTCGGAGAAGATTCCAGCGACAAAAAATACACAGTGGGCGAAACGACGACGAAACATTTCTGCAAGACAATGACGACGGACCAAAGCTTTAACAAAATCACGGAACACTCGGCCCTAAACCCAGCTGAACACGACGAGCAGCTTTAAAGAACTTGTCAAACACTAGTAAAAAAATTTTTTTGTACGTTGGGAAAGTGTTTCCTACCATGGGTTGTATGTGACGGATTTTTTACACTAGTTGTAAAACTCTAAATTGGTGTTGAAATAAAGTATGAACTGAATATATGATTTATTATATCCCAACAACGTGTTTGAAAATTGTTTTCGAATTTTAAATTTTCGAATCAAAACCAATTTTTTTAATGGTAATAACAGTTCGTATCTCTAAATGGTCTTTCGCTAATATACTTTTTTAAATAAATAAATAAAATTCTTAAAGATTACACGTAATTAAACAGTCACTCGATAGCCGGAAATTTTCCACCCACTGAGCCGCGATCATAATGTCAAGACGGCGTTGGGGATGATGATGATGAGCACGCTGAAAAAGGCCCAATATCACATTTCGCGTTGACAAGCAAAGAAATTGAGGAATTGTTGACATTCGCCGCCCAAACGAGATTTCATTCATGAATTTTGGTCCAGGCATGATAGCACTGCTTCAATTGTTTCTGCCACTCGCAATGTTGCCATATTTTGTGGCGCAAAACGATGGTGAGCAAATAATTCAAATACTATTTCCAATTCAACAACACATATTTTTCGTATACGTTGCTTTAAATACAATAACCTAGGATTGATTCAAATATGGCCTGAAACTCAATCTTAAACTGTTTTTCTTCAATTTGACGTACGAAATAAAATGTGCATCGCATATGATACCTGTAATCTCACGATTAAGGTATCCATTCATACCGTTCTATTAAGATCAATATTTTCATGATCTTTCTGCATTTCGAATATTTATATAGTAGTCGCTAAACCATTAAAACTATCATAAAATAGAATTTAAAAACTATTATGGAACACTCCATGTTATGGATTTATTAATAGTAAAAGTTCATAAAATAGCTTTATTATTTTATAATCGGTTAGTATGAACTATATCAGAGCGGCCAGTTTTGTTAATTTTTTTTTTGAATAATCAAAAGAAATGCTGAAAATGATCTCTGTTTCAGAATGCATTACTTCATGCTCTTTGACTTATATGGGAGAAGGAATTGTTCCACATGTATACAATGAATGTTCATGTCAAATTATCCAAGAGGCAGCGACAGCGTTTCACATTCCCACGCGTTGCACCCCGTATTACCGGTAATCGCTTCAAATTCTCGATGAATATTTTTCTAATTTTCTAGATCACTCAAGTTTAGAAACAAGAGTACTGGAGAAGTATTGCTTCATAAAGCAGTGGTGCGAGTCTGCGTTGGACTGAGTAAAAAACAAAGGAATCGCTAAAAATTTTCCATTTTTGGGGATTACAGATTCTCGACATGCTGTAAATCAATCATTGTTCGATGAGGAAGAGCGCTTGTTTCTTGAAAATCGAGTGTATGAAGCTCTTGAGTATACCCCAGAGCCTTTGGAAACAAAACCCTCATGGATATTTGGATTCCGAAACAATGTGATGCAGCTTTATCGAAAACCCGACGGTCATCTTCGATTCGGATAAATTCAATAATCTCAAGCCATCTAATTATTTCGTATGCATTGCCTCTCCAATAAACAAGATTCGTTAACTGAATGATTCTTTATTATTAACGCTTCATCAAAAATGTGAAAAAAAATCGGACAATGTGTTCAAAAAATAGGAATTATATTGAATACGAATACTTATAGATTAGAAAGGAATTGAAACGTTGAGGAAATAATAAATGATTGAAGAATCTCCCGTATATAAATGGAATATATTCGAAGCTGAAATTTCAGAGGATTGCGTCGATTAACAGAGATTCTTTTTTTTAGGTGTAATAGGCGGAATAGCGAATTTCACGAGAAGCGCGACACAAAATGCATGAGAAGAGCAACGAGAACAGTTCAGCGGCAAGAAGAAGGAATGCGATGACAACGATTGATTCTCCCCAAGATTGAACCATATGAGAAATGCGATCAAAGCAATTGTCAGAATACTGAAAAAATATTTCGTTTTCTTTTTGGTTTTTTTTCTTTTTAAAAATTGTTTAATTCGATCTTATCTAACCTTCAGTGGTTGCGCTCCACAAAGTCCGTCCTGAATATAGAGATATTGGGTCTTGTCCGTAGCTCCACAGCATTGGAACACATCTTGAATTGGCTTAATGTTCATGCGAAGATCGGCAGTTTGCGAGGATTTCTCGAGAACCTGCAAACCGTTTATTAAATTTTGAACTCAAGGTCATAATAATTATGAATTGTTCGCTTCCGTTTGGATTGTTATAATATAAAAAGGTCATTTGTCGGCTAAACGCAATGTTTGGGTTCGCGCATATATGTATTGGTCAAATACGGAAGCGTCGGTCAAAAAAAAAGAGCAAACTTTGCAGCTTAACACAAATTTTTACCTGCTCAATAGCGGTGACGAATTGTTCGCGATTAGTCATTGCGAAAATAGTGGCTCCCAGCTCAACAGCGGTCAAAATGACGATGCAGAAGAAGAACTGTAATAACGATTGTTTGAAACATTATTGGAACAATTCATCATTCTATATTACCAATCCCAAAAGAACTGGGCTCTCGCAAGCTGCTCCGCAACATCCAAGGAATCCAACAAGGAACAAAAGAGCACCAACGGCAACGAGAATCCAAAGCGATGCTTGATACTGTAATCGAAGCCATTATCTTCTAATCCCGTAATGTCGATTTAATTACCTCGGCGATTTTATCAAGATGGTGATAATCTTGTCCATCAATTTGTCGCACGAAATCGGCAAGATGGCTTCCAAAATTCTTGTCAAGGTTTGCCCACAGCGAGAATCCGCAAACTAATGCACCGAAGATGCAAATAAGAAGATTGACGATGAAGAATAGAAGCTTGATGCACGAATTGCCGCATCCATACACCATATTCTGCAAATTAATATTAAAAGTTCAATGATTTATAAGGGAGCGAAACGTGTGGAACAGGTAATGCGTTTAGAGAATGAATATGGTTGTCGGGTTAGCTAGTTTCGAAGGCAATTAAAAAACGAAATCCGCCGAAATCTCGCTTCAGCATCAAAATCGAACCGTTCAATAAAGGAAAATTTAATTAAACAAAATTTATAAAACAAAATTGCGAGAACAAATTGCAACAATCGACAGAAAGCGATGTGTTTGCTTCGTAATACAAGTGTTGATAAGAACAAAATTGGAATTGATTAAAAATTGACTGGCACACCGCGTTTCGAACAACGCAAATATCGCCAGATTCTCTTTTGTTCCAAACCGAGAAAATGTTATTGTTGCCACTGAATTTTTTTTTTAGTTTTTTTCTTACGAATGATTCCACTCAGCTATAAATGAATAGAATAGTAACGGTGACTCATTCAAATTGCAACGAACGGAGAAGGAGGTGAAAAAGAGCGGTGTAGAAGAAGACGTTATGACATGCATTACTGCGCATTGACGGCAAACCTGGACTGGTCGCAAAAAAAAACACGACGCTCCGAAATCAATTAAAACGTTGTGAGAACCTCGGGCTAATGCCGTCCGAAGAAGGCGAGCTTTTCCATAAATATTCAACGTGCTTCTGCATAAATTATGAGGGTCCCCAACTTGAATAATTTCATGTGAAATGAGCGCAGTAGCAAAAAGGCATTCTCATTAGATTTTAGTGTATGTGAGTATTGAATAGGATACTTGGCATCAAAAATTGATGCCCATAAGTAAAAGATCGCATTCTAGAGGAGAGTGTAATCTTATCGGAAGAGGAGTTTTTCCAATATTCACGAAAATTAAAAAAAAATCATCGATTTGATGTCGTCATAGTTTTATCAGAAACATATTACAAATAAAATTGAATAATTGAATTTTCTCGAATAACGTTAGTCATTCCATTTTCGGACAATTTGAAAGGTCATCAAAACTAGTCAGTCAGTTTTTGAAGAGTGAATTTCGAAATTCTTTTTCTCAAATCTGGTCTCGTTTTTGAATTCCGCTCTTAAATATACAGATAACTAACTATTTTCGTTCACGGCACAGGATTCATGAAAATGAAACAGAACAAGTTGCACGACGAGCGACTCTGCGAGTCGACGAAGCGACAAGAGGTGCGCACCGAAAAAAATCGCGAATGCGAATGAGATGACAAAACAATACAAAACAAGCCGGCAAACACGACGCGAGCAATTGTATGTATATAACTGAGCGTTGTGGGGCGGGATACCTAACAGATGTTTACATTGTTTATCAAATAATGTATTAATGCGCGCCTGACGATAAATCCTTCAGGCAAGTGTTGTTTTGAGCATTTCGCATGACTGCAATTATAATTCTGTTTGTAGAAAGGATCATCAAATATTTCACAAGAAAAAATACAGGATTCTTCTAATATTGAGCAGAAAATGATTGAAAAATAACCGAAGTAAGGGAAATGTAGAATCCATGGATTTTTAATAATTTAATTATATTTGGAATCTTGCCAGAAGCCTTAAACATCAAGGCTTATTGATACTAAACTACTAAATTGAAGTTCTATTATCAAATTGAACTTCAAATTTAAATTAATTAAAATACTGTATTAGTATAAGGGTAATATTAGAATGAGCAAGCACAGACAGGACGCTTTCGAATGTAACGGAATGGTGGTAATGGTGTGGTGCATTGTTATTGTTGCACCTCGGCCCTCTTCTCATCCAATGACGCGCCTTCATAGCTAGTTGTGGAACCCTTCGATAACCTGTCACGCAGAACCCAAGGTCACCAATACAACACTCACATTTTGGTGTCGAAATTGGCCCATTCTCACTTCACAATGCACACCAACAACTGTCGGCACGTTATTGTTTATAAACACTAATATGAATGTGTAATTATCCTTTGAACACACATGATGCCGATGGGATTTAGTAATTGAACGTGACATTATCATGTTTACCTTCGGACACATGTACAGTAGTTGAATACAGTAATAATTTTTTGATGGCTAGGCTTTTAAAAAAGTGTGTGAATGCTTGAAATCAAAATACTTATACATATAAAACACGAATTGTTGTTTTTGTGAAATCAAAAAATTTACTTTGGATTCAATAGAATTTTCAATCAATCTCTTCAATAACAACGCTTTTGAATATTTGAACCACATTATTCAAATTTTCAAGGCACAAATATGTATTGAAGGCTATAAATCTTGGAAAGGAACGCAATGGAGATTGGTTCCAGCTTGTTTGTTTTTTTTTAAATAAATCGCTAAAAATTCTTCATTCGTGTTGAAAAAAAAGTGAGAAGCGAACGGATTTCAAAAGAACCAAAAAACAAGTAAAATTTCCATTCTTCACGCTTGACTGCTTACGTATCAAACTTCAGCAATGCACAAATTTACTGGAATCCAGTCCGCGATATACATGTACCAGTAATCTCATTTCCAAGATTTTGAGAAAATTCATGGAGAAGAGAACTTCTCGAGAAAAGAAAAATAAAATGTTGCAATAAAGATGTGTCATAAAAAATGAGCGGCCGAAATTCTCGTGAAACGCTGCGCAAATATAATTCCAGAAAACACGTCACACCTAATCTTTGCGTATAATCAAGCAAACTGCAAGTCCCATGTGAGCACCGAAATGACGACAAAAGAGTTTTAAGAGATAAATATCGGTGTATATTATTAGGAACAAGTCAGTCACACTAAATGGATTGAAACAGTTGCTAGGTGAATCAAATTATAGTTGAAGAACATGCTTGACAGGATTATATAATACATTTCCTGCAATTATTGCCTTCAGAAAACTGCGTTTCAAATCGAATGTGACGTTGCGAGATTTTATGGAAACATAAACCGAAACGTTTTTATATCGATTGTTTATCGGTTTTGAATGATATAAAATATGAGAATTCATTTTTTTTAAGAATTCAATGAAAAGGTCAAATATATATAATACAAGTATATAATACACAAATTCGTATATTTTGTTTTTTTTTTCGAAAAAAAAGAAAGTCGTCCTGAAATTAGTAATTTTGATGTAATTGTCGGGAAATTATGAAAAAAAATGTTTCTCTATTTTATCCTGGATTCGAGTTGAAAATTTTTCAGAATAGCATCTTTGTCTTTAATTTTCATTGTTCTTATAACGTAGAGAGTTTATTAAAAGCCTAATTTTTTTGATTACAATAAATGTGTATTTTAAATTTTGAAAATGCATGAATATAACCAAAACAAATAGAAGGTAGATTCGTCCTTCAACATATCCTATAGGCATTTGAGAGCGAATAAATTGCGCTAGTTGAATGCACTTTCTTTGCTAGATATGCATTTATCGTAATCGGAATAGACAACAGCTTAGTTAGGAATGCATTGATTGAATGAACAGAAAGCACATTTGAAAGTAGAAAACATTTTGACAAAATTAGAAAACGGAAAAAGTACGACTAGTTAAAACGAAGAAGAAGAAGAAGCATATTTACGAAGCGCTGAGGGACACCTTCTTCGGCGGCCGTCTTTTCAATTCTAATTCAGTCAGCTCCTTCAACTTTCTTTTTCGCATCCTCGAAAAGAGAAGTGAATGCACCTCACTCAGTTGAAGAGCACAATTATTGTGGCACAAACATTCCGTCTAAGGAAAGCCGTTGTGAAAAAACTAAAGGAAAATTTCGGGTTGGAATACGTGAAGTAGGGTGGCAGATACGAATTTTTGATTTTGACGCGTTCAGCGCAAATAGCAGACTTGGCAAACAAAGAATTAGGTATTCGAATGAGACAACTTTTGGTAGGAACTAACAAAACTTTGAAACCAATTTGCATACATCAATATTCCGTAAAGATGGGCAAGGAAGGAGACATATGCATAAAATGTAGAAAACAATCCTTCAAAGTGCAATATGACAGATTGCCCTAAACATCTTTGTCTCATGCACTTTTAACGCGTGAAACTAAATTCACAGGGTCACGTCTTTACCGGAGTCGAAAGGCGCACATAAATCAGCTAGTCAAAAAAAAAAGAAGAAGTGAGCGCGTCTATGCTTCCGCGTTCGATTTCAACTTGAAAACTGAGATATATACGTAGGCTCAGGAAGAGCGCAATCTCAGCCAAAAACAGAGAAAAATGGATGCTCAATTTATAAGCAGATTCTCAGTACGCTTCAATGGGCACGCTCTCTCAAAACAAGCATCCTTCTATTTTCTAAGGATTTTGGAGTTCTAGGAATGCATGTGAGATGAGAGCGCAAACCAGAGGAGATGTCGCATGCCTAATAATAAATTGACTCAATTATTAAAACGCAGTGCTGACTAAATGTCAGCTACTCGTGAAGACGAAATTTGTTCGACTTTCTCAGGAAATGGAGTATTTCTTGATGATTGAGCAACCTTATGACAAACATTTTTTCAGGGTTGTCGAAAATTAGTCATTACATTACTTAAACATGATTACAAGTTCTGGATATGAAAGCTTTACTTTGAATTTTCAAAAATAAAAAAATTGTTAACTAGGACCTACTAAAATTACCCACCGAAATGTACACCAGTTAATAAAAAAAATTTGACATATATCAATTCTAAGAAAAATCACCGAAGACCACCTAAATGACATTTCTGGTTAGGACCCTCTTAGGGCCTTTGTTTGATTTCACAGTGGAAAAACTTGAAAACTACAAACACGTGATAGTGGCGTATCCAAAAAGTGTCCGGTCTGAAAAAAAGTTTTATTTAATTCTGTGAATTAAAAGAAGATTTAAAATAACCAAAAATCAACGAATAAAGCAAAACTGTTTGGAGAGATCATCCGCTTGGAGAACTAATCAATTTTTGCAAAGTTTCCACCGTTTTATCAATGTTAGTTATTATTTACTGTTTTTATCAATGTTTTTTTTTTGCTCACGCGAGTAATTTTTGTTTATGAAACGATTAAGCATTAAAAAGTTTTTAGAAAAAA